TTGCAGTGCAAAACAAAAACCAGATTTGACAACATGTGCTAGGCTCCCAACTGTATCACAGTGATGGTACAGCTTACTACAATGGGGAATAGAAAAAAGATAGATCACAGGCAGATGGTGCAAAAAAACACTGAATAACAATTAAGAGTGACTTTAGTTTTCAATAAGTTTCTGCAAGATTATGTTTGTTTATGCCAGATGTTTTATTTGTATTACCTCCAAGGCCTGAGAGCACCGCAGGAGGCAGTAGAAAAGTCAATGCACACAAATAAAGTAAGCATTTGTAATTTCTAACTTTACAGTGTTACCTATATGGTAACATGCTTTAGAGAGGATCAGGTGTTTTATTATAAATAAGCAAGTACTAATGGACAGAGAAAGTAAAAATTCTGTGAATAATGTCATCGAGTTCCTCCTGTTTAAGCAATTTTTTTTATTTTTCATTGCCACCAACTCAATTTATTATTTCTATGCTTCGACATTAAGCCTTCACTGTGAGTCACTCTTGCTGTCTTCATGTGGATGGCTCTTCATGTGGACAGACAACATGCATATTCACAATAGGCTGCCAGCAGTTTTTCTGAACATGCATATTCACAATAGGCTGCCAGCAGTTTTTCTGAACTATGGGACCTGCTGATGTGATTTTTTTTTTTTTGCAAATAACTCTTTCATAGCTGTTTTAATAAACTTGACATATATTTTTGAACACGCTGCGCTCAAGTGTAAACAATGTTTTCAGAAACAGAATGAAGAAAGTTCACCTGCATTAGCGAACTGAACTGGGCTGGTTGTATTTAGACAAGTCATGCCGATCTATCTATTTAAAACTCGCAAAGTAGATTAAAAGTGTGGCAGCCTGGGCTAGTTGGTATGACACAACGATAGTTATAGAGCGAGAACAAAACAGAACGCCTTTTACTGTGCTTTTGTTTTTTCCCTTACTCATGTATTGCTCTTTGTGCCACATAGTTTTTGTTACATGGCTTACTGTCTCCTCTATATGTTTTCGTGCTCTGCGCAATAAACTCAGTTGGAAGTTAGCGCTTGTGTCGTTCGTGTACTTCTTGTCTCTTTGTCGTCGTTCTGTTCTCGCGCTATAACTATCGTCATCGCAAGTACAAGCAATTGAGCACTGGAAACTGCTCAAAACATGAACGGCAGCGTACGGCCGTTAGATGCGGCCGTGAGAATGGGGATTAAAACTACAACTATGGGGGGGTTAAAACTTAGGCATGAGCTAAACACGCATGGCAAAAAACGAGCTCCCCACGCGATGAAACCCCGCGGCCACGGCTGCACGTCTTACTCCAACGCGTAAATCTTGTCCGTATATACTCGTCGTAATGCCGCAAGTGTGGAGATGCCGCCTGTTTACGCAGTCAGCCCTGACACTGCTTACTTACGGCTAGAGTAGCTCGGAAACAACCCCAAAGCAGTTGGATCACTGGCATATTGATACAACACAGCACCGCAATCACCCGCCCCTCACCCCGCAAGCGCAGCGACGACGGCGAGGATAGATGAGGGCGTCAGGCATTGCGAGGAAATGACGTTTGCAGTGGCGGTAGCCAATAAGCGCCGTAGCAGACAACATGGGCGTTTCCCCTCTCTCTCTCGCGTTCTCCAGCATACGGTTGTCTAACACGCTACACCGCCTGCAGAGAACGTTGCCCAGAGCAAAAGTGGGACTATTTCTTTAGTCGCTGAGGCTGCCGCGCTTCGGTCGTTTGGGCGAGGTCTCCCCTGACTTTTTAAGTTGTATCTAACTATAGTTCAAACGTTATTTACATTATAAAATGTTCATATTGTCACAAACGGTTCGTTGACTAAATAGAACAGCCTGTTAAAGAGTCATGAAATGAAAATGAAGATGCCAGGTTGTAATTTTTTCTGCTTTCCTAAGGATTAGACCCCCCGCGCCATGCTGATTCTAATATATTTCAGTACAGTATCTAATCTATAATTAATTAGTCGGTTTAAAATTGCAGTGTTTTTGGGCTCGTAAACAATTTTTTTTCCCCCTCATATGATAGATTTATATAGGAACCTACAAAATAATCAAATACCAATAACTTTTCCACTCTGAGCTGTGTATGGGGAACGTGCGGCACCTACAGGTGGCACGCTCATGCGGTGCACCAGTGCGTCGTCAGCGCCACGAGTGGCCAATGAGTTCTTAACTGACGAGCGACAAATTCTCGTCTCTCTTTCTGTTGCGCCCGCATTTTGCAGAAGTTCGCACGCGCAATGGCTACTAGTGTTATAAAGCGCACCGGCTTCAAGAAAGTAAAGAGCACAAGGCTTTTGGAGCCTTGAACGAAGAGAAAGGCGACAAATTATGTCGCAGGAGGCACGTTTTCAACATGACCGAAGAGACCACGGTCGGACAGAGTATCTTGAAAGAGCGATGTGCGCGACAAGCCTACGTGAATCAGGAAGCATGCACCGTCATCATCGAGGTTAGGTTTGTGCGAACGCTTTTTCGTCATTTTACCTGCTTATCACTGAGCGAACGATGACACTAACATGAGACATGTGCTGTAGTGTGATGTCTTGAAAGCTACCAAGTACAATCGGGGCTAGTAGTATGTATAATCGCATCTCGTCTTGCATTTTTTTATACCTAACGATTGTGCGAATCTTACTATGCTCCTGTTCCTTTTGTAGACGTTCCTCAGGCTGCATGAGTGATTTAGTAAATATGTTACATGTCAAATATGCAAGTGATATCTTGGCCGTCACGTACCATAAAAACAGCATGGCATGGCACCGCTTGCATGCGCAGCACTGTCAAGGAGCATATGCAATACCTGCGCGGTCCCCTGTGCATTATGCCACACATACGGCCCTTGTTCTGCCGCCGTTTACGAACTGCATTGTCCGCTTCTATGTAGGGCGTGCCAGTAAAATATTTTACCAGCAAATGAGCTTGTTTGAATATTGCTCGCCTTTATGCATGTAATAAACTGTTTGAACTACGATCTGCATAACAATGCCACACGTACAGCCAAGTGCGAACTCTTGGCCTCCGCGATCGTCGAAGTTTTGCAGTACAGTGGCGGAAAAATAGCAGGAGCGTACGAGGGAGAAGCTGAATCCATCGATGACTTTCCGCCAACGAAATGTGCACTGAAGACCTACGATCCCCTTGCCTGCTGCCATTCAATTCCGTTTGTACTATAAAAACACCGGTTCACCTTCACGGGGCGTAAATTTAAAACGAACTAGCAACAACATGTACTCTATAACCATGCGCAGGATCACTTCACATGGCGTACAATGCAAATGCACGGTTTCCACTGGCCTACGAGGCATTGTTGCCCCCGAAAAATGAAAGATCTTCGTTCGAGGAGAGTATTTCCCGTAACTATTAGTGCAGACAATTATTGACAATGCGGAAATTCATGCGCGACAATGCAAAGCTCCTCCACCAGCGTGGAGGAGCTTTGCAGCTGCTGCACTTATCACGCCACTTACTTTCGTTCCTCCCCACGCAGCGGTGCCACCAGCTCAATACACACTCCCCCTACTGTGGAAATACAGCGAGCGACCTGCTTGGTTCTGCATTCAAGTAGACTGAAGCCTCCAAATAACGAACCTCAATTGTGGGGAATCTAACACCCCCTGTAAAGTCGTTTGTACTTCATGGCGCACGCGTTTCGCGCATGGGCTGCACTTCGGGTTCACAAATATCGAGCGGTAGGTGGTGCTCTTCTAGCAAGTGTTTATTGCCACCATGAGCATCATGGTTAGCGCGGTAGCGCCGGCTGCCATGTGCCGCCATCCAGGTGGCACATGAAAGAGGAGCAGTTCTCCTTGGCGCGTAGTGGTTGGCGTGAACGGTTGTCTCTTGCGGTACGTTAGCCCCTCCTTCTGAAGCCCCTTCTTCAGGGAATTATAAACCTACCAATGTTACAGGTGCCTCTTCACACAACCGTGATTTAGCAAAACATCTGCAACCCTGCTTCTTTTCTTTCATTCACGAAATCCCACTGTACTTTTCACTCTCGTCATGGTACTTTCCCCTCTCTTTACATCCATATATCCACAGTTACCTCTCCTATATACATGCTAAGGAAATCAGTTCTAGCCTTGAGCCCCGCCGCAATGTTCTAGTGGCTAAGTTACTTGGCTGCTGACCTGCAGGTCGCGGGATCGAATCCAGACTGCGGCGGCTGCATTTTCGGTGGAGGCGAAAATGCTGTAGGCCCACGTGCTCAGATTTGGGTACACGTTAAAGAACCCCAGGTGGTCCAAATTTTCACAGCCCTCCACTACGGCATGTCTCATAATCATATGGTGATTTGGGGGCGTTAAACTCCACAAATCAATCAACGAATCAGCTCTAGCCTTGAGGATGTCGGCTCGAGCACACAGCCTCTGTTTGGAGATTTTTTTCAATTTTTTTGACAAACAACAAAAGAAGCACAAGGTACTGTGAACGTGTTGTCGACATTCGACTTCCCCTTGATAAAACAACCCGCAGAGACGTTCCCCATAAACCCAAGGCAGGAGACTTCTGTCGTTGCACGCTGCCAGCACCAAAAAGACCCGTCACTACTGTTTCCCAGACATTGACCTGGCCCTTCAGCCGCAGCAGCGAGGATGGCACCACGCGTTAAACCTTACCTACACTAGCACAGGGCCACCTCTCACATGGAAGCTGTGCCTAACCTAACCACAGCTAATCTGCGGGACGCACATGCACCACGAGGTGCAAATGACTTTGCAAAGGGTGATAGCACACGCACAATTAAAACACTCCCCTTTTTCTATTTTGTTTGCGCCGCCGTTACAATGTGTTCATATAGTTCAGATATATTTACATTCTGAAAAAATGGGTGTTACGAAGCATGTTGCAAGAATCAATGTCACATTGGTGCAAACGAAATTAATGTCATTTATATACAAATTCGAGACACTGTCTATCACAAAGCATACAAAGAATACATTTTTCGGTGACTTAAAAAGGGCCAAAAAGAGCAGTAGATACTTACCGGGGGTATCTCCGTGAGCAGGTAGAATGTTTGAGTGTACAGCTCATGCTAAAAGAGAGAAAAACACAAGTCCTGTCAGCGTGACCCTCTCTACACACATTCACTGCTACACTGCAACAAGAGAGAGAGAGATAAAGATGAAAGGAAAGACAGGGAGGTTAACCATACGCACATCCGGTTTGCTACTCTGCACTGGGGAAGGGAGGAAGAGGTTGCAAAGAGATAAGAAGGTACACACAATCACGAGCACACTTGGGGGAGCACACACAGTCTACAAGCGGTCACTCAGGTTTGATGTCTTCAAGTAAAATAGGAGTGCTTTAGTCGCTTTCTGCGTAATTGAGGCAGACGCCCAAGCTCCCAGAATCTTCTACACACAGAATGGTCTAGAGTCAAGTTGATTCAAAACCATCCGGAGCTGGCATCGCTGCGTGTCATAGCAAGCGCAGCTGCACAGGACGTGTTCAATGGTCTCTTCAGCTCCGCAGGGGTCGCATGTAGAGGTGTCTGCCATACCAATGCGAAAAGAGTACACCTTTGTGAATGCAACACCCAACCAAAGGCGGCACAACAGTGTCGCATCAGAGCGGGAGCACTGCAACAAAATTCTTGTTTTCATATCGTAAATATCAGGTGGCAGTACAATGCCTTCTCACCCTTACTCGGCATTTCAACTGAACTATCAAGCTCTTCCCATAACACCATGCAGTTTGCTTCTAAAGAGTGGTAAATCAATGGATGCTACATTAAGTGTCACAGTTACACCTGGATATAACAAAATTGACAAATTACAGAAAAATTTCATTAAAACATGATTTCGTTATGTGCAGGTATGGTACGAAAATTTGAAAAATGAATGCACGAATCAAACAGAGGAAACTGAAGGTAAAGCTAACCCATAGATTCTTATTGTTAAATGCTGGCCCTTCCTCCAAAGCTCTTTAGTTGTCGCTCTCCTCAACCAGTTCTTGCTACACAGCCCTCCGTTCTTTGTGCAGCCACTAAACTGAGGTTCCGTATCGCTGGTCCTATCACACCATCATTCGCGTTGCCGGCATAGAGTAGCCAGGCCATGTACCAACATCGTCAGCCACCGACAGCAGCCAAACGTATGCGTCCAGTCTGAATCGGTGCCGTACTGTTCCAGTGCACATGCTTGCACTACCGCACTGCTTGATTTTTCGCGATTCATTCCATGTTTAGAGCTTGTTCTTTTTGACTTCGCACTCAGCTCAGCAAATATGGCTGTTACACGCAACCAATCACAAATTATCAAAGTTGCTGGGGCCGTGTAAGCCTGCCGGTGCCACAATGCGATGCTTTGACCTCTGCTCGTGCAGGCCACTCTTCCAAGTTTTTCTACGCATGGGTTGCATGTTTCATGAACCTTTCAAGAAAGCTACCAAGCCTGCGTTCTTCCCGTGTATTTTGGTGTTCAAGGTCGCCTTCCCGCCGTATGCTCCCCTCTCTTCACTCAATCGCAACTCCTCAGCCTGTCTCCATCGCTCTACGACACCAGCCACGCTGGCTGGAAATAAGAAGTTCTTTTTCTGGCTAGAAACAGGCCCAAAGCAGCTTCACGCGTCCTGGCGTGTATATCTCATGTGTGCGTCTTGCTTGGTGTTGATGTGTGTGTGTGGTCAGGATGGCAGGCCTTTAGTGCCTTTTCCTGCCGCTCACCAAAATGTCACAAGTGCGACCACTTGGCTTCAGCGACACTTTAAAAGTTATTATAGCTGCCGTGTTGTGGAGTGCTTGCTCATAGCTGTTGACCGCCAGGTAGCCAACTTGCCACTACGAGTGTCCCTGCACCCAGCTGTTGAGATGGTGAAGGCTTAGTGGGCGGAGGTGACGGCTGCATGTGTGCGAAAATGCTTTCGCGAGGTGGACTTCGCCAACATCAGACCCGACGATAGGCCTGAAGCTTCCAAACAGGACCACTCTGGCGACAATTTGTGGCAGCTCGTCCACGACTCTGTGGGAAGGCGGGACCATCATCTGGGATGACTTCATTATGGCTGATGACGATGCTGACGCTGCGGAATTGTGAACCAATTAGGGCATAGTGAATGAAGTGCGAGGCAACAGCTATTTTGTGAAATTGATGATGACGTTGACAGAACTTTGTTACCAGCACCCACAAGTGCCCCAGTAGCAAATGGCTACAACAATAGCCTTGGGCAGCTTGTATATGCCACAGACCTCGACGAAGAGCACGCTGCTGCTTTAGATGAACTGGAGACCACCGTTATTGCTTCTGTCCTTCAAAACACGTGCATTACAGACTTTCTTGCAAAAAATATATATATTTTCATTTCCAACTTTTTCGAAGCTGCGTTTCATTAACTACGAACTGCGGGATACGCAGCGGTAGAAGCAGACTTTAGTCTTTTGGAGCACCTTTGGGAGCAGGAATAATGCGGTTTTGGAACAGCTTTGGAGCAGTCAAGAGGGAGTTTTGGAGCAGCTCTGGAGCATCAAAAGATGTATTTGGAGCGTCCAAATTTGGTTTTGGAGCAGATTTTTCGGGTCATGCATCACTGATAAATAGAATTTCTGGCTCTCTGGTGGACACAATAAATTTCAGTGGTTTTTACTAAGCATGCAATATGCTCATGAAACGACGAGACTTACCCAAATGTGATATATATTAAACCTTACAACATCAAAGCTGAAAGCACAGCAACTCAAAGAGAAAAATTAAGTGATGCTCTGGACAGCTATTAGACTTCAGACGAATGAAACAATTTAATGTCAGAATGTTGGAATGTTCAAAATGTGATTAAAACACTGCATCCAACACCAACAGCAATGCAAGACTAGAGATGAGCTACTATATAATGAATTTTATCTTTATGCTAAGCCAATAGGGCTCTATAAAAGAAAATGCAAAAACCTTACATTCCAATAATTGAAGTGCCACAGCCGACATTAGAACCACAAGGTAATTTAGATGCGCTTGCTATGTCATGGCTAGGCAATGAAGTGTTGGTTTTTTTTAAGACAATAATTATGTAAGCACTCTAAACTACAATTTGGTAACATTCCATGAGTGCATTGTACGTTCTACCCACGCGTAAAAGTGCACTAGCTGGTGCACTTTTACGCGCTGGTGCACTGGTAATGAGCGCTGCTGAAGCAGATATTAAAGAGGCGACCGATCTCCGTTGCTTGGAGGGCGCACACCATAGCAGCCCACCGCATGTTAGACCTATCGTCAGATGCTCAAGCTGAGAGAAGAAGGGGGAGGGGCTGGTCGCTCGAGCAGCAGCTTTGACCTTTTTGATTCTAAGGGCGTGGTTGCGATAGCTGGTGCGCGTGCCATCGGCAAGCATCAGCGCACACCTCGTAAACCGTTCCACATCGTGCGCTCTCAATGGGAAGAGATTATGCGATAAATGCGATTCTCCTTGAAGTGGCCGTACTTATTCTCTAACACCAATGTTTCGAGTGTCGGGATGTCGGATCGAAAAGAGTGAGATGTCAGCCTTCGTATTGTCACTGGGTCGTGATGTTGGAGAAGGCAGCAGCCACTGTTTTCATGGGTGCACTTTTTTTTTAATTGGGCAAAGCGGAGCCCAAATAGCAAAACGTCACCCTACAAGCAACACACGCCGTAGACTGATAGCAACAAACATAGAGCATCGCCGTTGATAATCTGCCAAGCAGCCAGTGCGTTGTCATTCATACTTATACAAACGAAGATTCCAGCATTATCGTTAGCGGCTGCGTAAGCTCTAGAACCATCTCTAATGTACATGTGCACATAATCTCATCGGAAGGTTATAAGATTATCTAGATGGCTCCCACTCACTTGGGCGCGGTTTGCGCAAGGCAGCGTTACACGCGTAGTGGTGCGGTAACAAAAATAGAAAGACAGGAGTGCATGCGGCAGTAACATTATAATATTAGAGTTGATTGCTATTGCAATCATCGCTTAACGATGAAACTGTTTTTTTTTTTTTTAGTTTACATGGTTCGAGAGTCTCCATCGCAGAGCGTGTGCTGTGCTCGTTTTTTGCAACACTACCGCCTTTATAGTTTAACTAACACCTTATAGTTTAACTAACTAAGAGAGCAATGAAAAGAAAAATGATAGGTATAACCTTAAGAGACAAGAAGAGAGCAGAGTGGATCAGGGAACAAACTGGGATCAAGGATATTGCAATTAAGGTTGCAGCGCAAGCACGAAAGTGCTAGAAGAAAAGTGAACAGAAGGCAAAAAGGACAACACGAGCGCTGCCTTCCTCTTTGCCTTCCATTCACTTTTCTTCTAGCGCTTTTGTGCTCGTGCTGCAACCTTTATTACAATAAAATTTAACCAACCAGCCCAGATATTCGTTCTTCAATGATATCCTTCTTCAAAGGATATCACAGTTGAAATCAAGAAGAGAAAACAGACATGGGCCGAGCACGTAGCACATAGGCAGGATAACCGCTGGTCATTAAGGGTAACTGACTGGATTCCCAGAGAAGGCAAGCGGGTTAGGGGGAGACAATTGTTAGGTGGGCAGATGAGATTAAGAAGTTTGCAGGTATAAAGTGGCAGCAGTAAGCACAGGACCGAGTTGACTGGCGGCACATGGGAGATGCCTTTGTCCTGCAGTGGATGTAGTCAGGCTGATGATTATGAAGATGACAGACAAGGTAAATCTTGTTTCAACAACGCATGAGAAACGAGGACGAAGAAAAAGAACACAGACTTTTCCTTTGTCTTCGTCCCACGTGTGCTGTTCAACCGAGAAAAATCCATACCAACTCGCTCAAGCTTCCATTCTAATGTAGACAAGGTGGGGTCTCTATTCCGGGACCCCATTGGTTAAATCCGCCGTCCTGGCTCACTGGACCAAGGCCTACTGGCCCTAAAGGTCTGAGCAGCCAAGCAGGGCCGCCTCCAAGTCCTCTCGCTTAGGGTTTGGATTAAGAGTAATGGCTGCATTAGCTTGGCACGCACCACCATGTGGTAGGTGTCTGCCACCTCCCCGCAGTGCTGGCTCTGTCCTGTGACCATTAGGTCGAAACGTTTCACTTTGGTAGGACATAGCATT